GGACAGGTTATAGTCACTACTCAGGATATTACAGCTTTCTTCATTGTTTATTGCGGATGGGATAATGTAGCTCAAGCAGGAACAGAGAAGATGAAAGTAAGGTTAGTTCAACACTGAGCTACTCTGTGATTAAAAAGAGTGATAGTATCAGGCCGACAGTTCAAAGGTTCAGTGTAAATATTGTTCATCTGTTTGGCTTTTCAGTTGTGGCACTGGCTAGTGGAAATATATCAAACTTCCATATAAGACAAACTCTGGTTTTATAGAGGAAAGCCACACACATAAAAAGTGGTCTGTTTCCTGATACAACAATAATTAAAAATTTAAACCTTTAACCTCTCTAAACATTTTAATTTTTGGTTTCTTTTGCCTATGACCTGCAGGTGCTTTAGGTCTCTCCACACCTATTTTATTCCGGTTTTCTCATTGGCAATTACTTACATGGTAATTCAAATCCAATTTCAATATTGACTAGTAGGTTGTAAGCTCTGCGTCAAATGCAAGCTCTCTAGCATATTCTATTTCCATTACAAACATCAGAAACCTTAAGACTTAAGAAACAGAAAGGAAAAAATATCTAGCAAGTGATGGCAGTGAGTCAATTATGCTTGTATTGCACGGTCCTCTGAGCTCATATTAAGTTCATATTGCTTCTGGTACTTATAAAGGAACATTTTTATTAAAAATTAAAACAGGTAAGAAGTGTCTACAGTGCATAACATAAAATTCTTCTCATTTTTTTTCAGTCTGGCAGCAGATCACAGCAACATCCATCTGCACAGAGCATGTGTCCCAGCTTGAATGATTTCACTAGTATTCAGTAGGCCAACACTAATTAGCCTTCTCTGGGACCAGCCTTTACTGGTTTTAGCAGGAAAGCCTTGGTCGACTTGCAGAGGTCACTTGGCCCCAGTCTTCATCCAGCTGTGAGGATGGTGCCCAAAGGACCTGCCCTGGTGATACTGGAAGGTGTTGTTGTATGTGGGGTGCAGGACAGCAGTGTATCAGCACCAACCAAGTCAAACACAGAGCTATGTACGTGCTTGATGTGAGCATGCAGACACCGCTGGAGGGACACAGGTTATGAATTTTCACTTTAAGAATTCAGCCTCACCGCCAGCATGGTCTTGACAGGACCGTAAAGTTTCTCCAGTTACCAACCAGTGTGGTAATCATTTGGATATTGACAGGTTTTTTGATCCCGTGTTTGTACAGTGCTTAGCCCAGAGGAATACTCATCTCTGGCTATTACATGGTTTCCCATTTCAAATATCTACAGTAGCAGATGAACCCTCATTACCGAGTTTGAAAATATTTCAGAAAGCTATCATGGATTATGGTCTGTAGTCCATAATTAAAACCTGTTTTATCGACGCTGTCAGTTTTTTTCTCTGTGGATAAGCTAGGGAAAAAGTCCATCACAACACCAGATGCATTTTCCACCCTCTGATCTGCAGCTTTGTTTAGTCATACAGATCCCTCTGTGTATAACAGTGTTTACTCATTGACTTAGTGGGTGCATTCCCAGTTTCTGCTCCTGCAATGATTTCCTGCTTGCACAGAGGTGTCGTCAAAGAGGACATCCTCTCTCTTCTAATCACACCTCTCCCAGAAAGTTTTCTGTAGCATACTTTAAAGGATTTTTCCTGTATTTTCGTCTAATCAGTTACATTTCTGTAAAATATTGGGGGTAAAAAATGAAAACTATTCATGGTTATGATGAACAATGTATGGAAAATATACTCTTCTGCTTCACAGCAGAAGAGGACAGGAACAGTCGTGGTCTTGTGGGCAGCTGCTGGTCAGGTGGATAGAAAAATATGTTAAATTGGATAAAATCATATCTTAAATATGTGGGTGGGAAAATAATATCTCTTGTAAGATGAAATAATTGTCTCTTCTAGATTTTCAAAAAGTAGTCTGTTTTCATTTCCACCTCGGTATTTATTTTCTGTGTCACAGATCTCACCTTATTAGAAAGGATTCATTGTTCAACATGGGGAATGAAAATGTGCTTTTATTGATAACTACATTAATAATATGAAACCAATCTGGTTGACCTGAATTGTTTATGCTATGTACATCAGATGGCGTGGCTGATATTCCTGGGACAGTTCTACTTTCATAAAATCCTGCTATCTGCGAGCCAAATGCTGCTCTCACTTTTGGAATTCCTTGTACAAAAGGAAGCAGAACTTTTTAAAGAGACTCTGTATTAAAATTTTTGTATTCCCTAAAAGCAGACATTTCACTTTCATATGAAATTTCAGGTGCTCTTGTCATCACAGCAGACACAAAGAAAAATACACCAATATTATGAGACTGGTGACTGGTATAGCACCAGTCAAGTAAATGTGTAGAATAATTTTTGTTTATTATTTGATTAGACAATCTACAAGCTGTACTGCATGTTAAGGTTTATAATGTAAATTAACAATTTTTTCCTAAAATTAAGCCAAAGATATGAAGGAGACAATTATAAAAAGTAAAATATCATTTTAACCTCAGTCCCAAGAAAAGTTATGGAGAAGATTGTCCTGGTGGATATTGAAACATATGCAAGCAAAGATATTATCAGACATAGTCAACATGACGGGAAAGCCCTGTCTTAGTAATTTGATCTCCTTCTACAATAAGGTCATCAGCTTGGTGATGGATGTAATCTTTCTGTTCCTCACAGCATCACTCTGGATAAATTGTCCAACCATGAGATAAACAAGTTCATGCTACACCAAGTGATGAACTGCCTCAATGGTAAAGCTCAAAGGTTTGTAAGATATTGGGCAGTCACCAGTGGCATGAAGTTCAGCAAAAGAAAATACCAAGTTCCTCACCTGCGATGGAGTACTGCCACAGTACAGCCTGGGAAAAATATGGCTGGGGAGCAGCTGTGTGGAAAGGGACCTGGGGGTGTCAGTGCCAACAGGGTCAGGATGAGCCAGTAGTAGCATTTTCTGGCAGTCAGGGTGGTAAAATGCATTTTGGGGTACATTAAGTGTATTACACTATTTGTATATGTACATATACAGTCAACTCATCAAACGAGGTGGTTCACCCATTATATTAAGCACTGCTGCAGCCTCACTTTGTATAGTGGGTGCAGTTCTGGTCTCCACAATATAGAAAAAATGCTGGAGAGCATCTAGAGGAGGGCAACCGATCTGGTAACAGGGCTGAAAGGCATGCTGAGGGCAACTGGATTGTCTAGTCAGCAGAAGAGGAAAGGAAGTGAAGAGGGAAGGGTTGGGCTCTGATTCTGGAAACTGATGGTAAGATGCAAAAGAACAGCACAAAGTTGCACCTGCTGGACATTACGAAAATTTTCTTCACAGTAAGGATGGTCAAACTCTGGAAGTCTTCCTAACAAGGTGGTTGATACTCCATGCCTGTCAGTGTTGAAGAAGCATATGGACAAGACCCTCATTTGCATGCTCTAAATTTTGGTTAGTTCTGAAGAGGTCAGCCCATTGGACTAGGTGATCTTTGAAGGTCACTTCCAACTGAGCTCGTCTATTCCAATAATTTCTAACACAATTAGTCCATCAGAAAAGATCTCCACTCTCATCCATCCATCCATCTCCTTACTCAAAAGTACTGTTTTTACACTGCCCCTAGAAGGTAGGCTGGCCCCATTGCTGACTTTTAGCAAGTCTCCCAGCCTCAATTCCCAACTGTTTTGTGCTGCCAGGATGTGAGGATCAGCAACTCTGACACATGAAGCCACAGAGATAGGTTCTAGTGACAGCAATGTGCAGGCAGAAACAAGTGTTTCCCAGGGAATAGAAACTCAATAATATTTAAGAAAATAACTGTTCATAATTGGGCCTCTGTCGCTTTAAACTTTAGTTGTAATACTAGTACTGGAACTTCAAATTACAGCTTTCAGTGGTTTCACGCTGAATCTCTCAATTACTCTTCTCAAGTCCGTTCGCACAGCACGTGCACTCTGACACTGATACCACCAGTAAATCAGAACTCCAGTGCCCAGCACCAAGGTGTTGTCTATCCCACGGGGATCGCTGGTACAGACAGGGCTGGGATCACAGCCATAAAGAAGCTGTGGCAGAGGTGAGGTGATTCCCATAGTGGCTGGGACTGTCACTACTACAGCAACTGCTGAGGCTGTTGCTGCACAGAGCTGTGTCTGCAGAGTAGCTCGTGACCAGGTTTTGGAGGGAAGATGGGGGTTGTACCTCAACAACAGCAAAACCATATACAAGGCCAACCCACAAGGGAGGATAGCATCAGGTGTGTTATTTTCAGCTGTAAATTAAGTCCATATGAGGGATTTTTGCTGTTACTGTAAGCTGTGTTTTGTTATTTAACTCATTGCTGTGGTGTTCAAGCAGATGTGCACACTGATTCACAGCTCAGTGCCCACTAGCAGCCTCCAGACACAGTTAAGACTGGAAAGGGGAAAGCTCAGTTCCACACAACCTGCTTTTAAACCTTGCAATGGAAGATGGTCCCAAAAATTATTCCTGTGAAATGAGTTGTAGGAGTAGCCAATATTGAAAACACATGGGGCTGCAGGTAGGGAAGAATTCCCGTGGAAGAGAGATGAGGCTTTGAGCCGGATGCCACCTACAGTGATGGGAATGAGAAGAGGCTGAGCCCACAGTTTACAATAAGTGGGTGGGAACAAGAGACCACTTTGTCCTTCCTGTAACCCTGTCCGGATAAGCACAAATCTGCATATGGTAGCTTAAAACCAGCTCAGACAGGGCTCCTATCTATTTCCCCTTTGAGCCTGGATGAAAAGCACAAGGATGGAGGTCACATAAACTCACTCTGTTCATGCAGTTCAGACCGATTTGCATAATCCAAGCTTTCATTTTAAACAAATTAAGTGCCTGGCACTTTATGGTTGTGAAGAAACCTCCCTGAGGTGTGAGTGAAGTATGGAACCACTGAAAGCAAAGACCACTGCAGGTGGAGTGGGAAATGGTAGCACAGAGAAACGAACGCTTCATAACGTAAACAGAAGTGTAAGAGACAGCAAATTTTTCACATTTTATTAAATCAGACTTTTACAGTAGCTGTTGAAAGCAAAAAAACACTGAATTATGTTTAGATAATCGTTCCATAAATAATGTGTGTTTTCACAGCAGTCACAAAGTCTGGAATTTATGTGCTAATTACAGACCCCAAATCATCTCTGCACAGATTTGCAATTAAAACTGAAATATTTTCATATACAATGTGAGCCCTGTATTCATAGCAACAGCTAAGAGACATGCTGGTTACAGTTTGCTCTGTAAATCTGAATATTTTATGTTTGAACACAATTGTTTCACTATTGTCCTTACGCTCAGTATTTTAAAAGCCGAAAGAGTTTAGAGCTGAATGCCACATTATGAATAGCTGTTCTTTTCTGAGAAAATATTCTCTATACAGAAGTGTATATAGTACAACCATCTAAGGGAACAAACAATTATTGAAAGACATCGAGAAAGCAAAATTCCTGTGTACAGTTATCTTCTTAATAAATATTGTAAAATCACATACTTTTAAAACCCTGCAGTGACAGCAAAGTGCAGGAAGAATGCAGAATTAGGGAGGACGTTGAATAATTCAGTAGCTTGTTATGTGATTAGATCTGATTGGCCCATGCTAAGATGCTGCCCATAAAAGTGATTTCCCATGGTAGCATTGGTAGAAGGGTGGGGGTTTATGATGTCCATAAAATGGGAGAACAAGGCTTACTGGAACTAATAATATCATGGCTGCGCAGAATGATTGATGATCTTTAAAAAGGCCCAGATTGGTTTCATCTTTCTTCGGATTTTATCACTCACTCTTTCTTAGTCACGTGCAATCACTAAGGCCAAGAGAGGTAACAAGTGTTTGATGTATGACACTTGAGCCACTTTTGTCAGAACTGCATTTATTTTAAACTGCTTTTGTATTTGATACTCCCAACATGTAGATGTTTTTTATGTTTATTTTTTCTCCAGCTGACGAGAACAGGCACTCCTGGGGTTGGGTCAAGAGGTAACCTAAGCTCACTTTAGAGCAGCAGTGCCAAAAATCGCAGTAAAAATTAAACAGATCCTCCTGCTTGCACTGGGACCATTTCCATTACTGATTGAATGGATAAAGAGCTGCACAGGGCTGACATCTTCTTGGGAGAACCTCATATCCTTCATTACTTGCAGTATGCACACATCTTTCAGAATGCTACTTACGCTTCTTGGAATACATTATCTATTTCAATTCACTCCATCCTTCACAATCTGCGGAGAGCCACAAAAGATCCTTTTATGTCAGGAGAAATTTCAGATGAATAGGAAAAAAAAAAACTTAATTTAACCAATTGGGAAAAAGGGGCATTTCCACTTTTTTCTGAAAGCTTTCACATCTCCTCCAATACTACAAATCAAGCCAGATATCTTAATCATTTGTTGGCAACATTCTTATCAGTGCTTTATTCATAAAAAGATTGCAGATGTGTGAACTGAAAAATGTTTGACAGTGTCCCAGAGGAAAAGAAGAGAGCATTAACAGGTTGATCAAACAGCAGTGTATTGGAATCCTGCTCATTTGAAGAACTCTGCCTTATCCCCCGCCTTATCTTAATTGTTCTAGCTGGAAGGACAGTAAATAAATCAATGTGAAGACAGGTCTCTGAGACCCTCCACTGGCATACAGACATCTTCAATTGTGCAGGTGTGACCACAAGACTGCACGCAAAGCCTGGCACGCTGACACACATGTTCCTTCATTCATGATGGCTCTGTCTTGTGCAGAGCTTAATGGTTTTCTGTTTTGGCAATTTAAACACTGTCTCAACATTGTTTAACAAAATCAAGAGCAGTTCCTGGCAATTAATTTCTGCAGTCAACAGTATTCTCAAACTGGGCAACTCCCCTTGGAACAGGGAGCCATAACAGCAGCGCCTGTGCAAGTGAAAGAGCAAGACAATTCATTAGACGATTCTGCAGCAGCTAAAAGTGGCGGGGGATGTCAGCCTGTGCTCCTGCGCTTCAATACTAATGAGAGTCATTGCATATTCATAACCCTAAATACAGTCAGCTTCTGATAAAAACTTTTGTCATCGAAGCTTCACAGCAAGAGCAAAGCACGGCACTCTTCGTGTCGCAGCACTTCCGCCAAGTGAGTGCAAGAGCAAGATTGATTGTTTTGCAACGCAGTCTGACAGGGAACTAAAAGATACTGCCCCAAGGGTCCTGAAACGAAGCTTAGTTTGATTACAAGGCTCCAAGTAATCAAAGAAACAAAAGAGAGGGGGGAAGATGGAGGGAAGAATGTTGTTTTGTCTTGTTGGTGGGTCTGAGGCTTGGTGGGTTTTTTTATTATTTTTTAAAGATAAAGGAGGCCCTAAAGATGCAGCTTTCTTTATTGATTGTTCAGAGTAATTATCTGTTAGGCATTTAAAACAGCTCATACAAATTTTTATCAGGGAAGAAGAACAGTAGGTGCTAGCAAACTTGTTCCCATGTTGTAGGAACACTGCTGCATGTCTTAATAGATACAAATCTCTAAAACTGTATGAAGTTTCACGTCAATATGAATAGCAAAGATTAGTGAACTCAACCTGTCAGATATTAAAATCAGCTCTGCCAAGTGTTATGCTTCCCAGAATTCACTTCCTGCAGGTTTATTTTCATTTTTGTTGTCAGTTCCTTCTTTTTCTCATCACTGTTGCTATTTTTATTATTAGTTTTGAGAAACTACCCGTCTACTTTGCTGGCAGTCAAATTCTGGAGGTGCACAGCTCTGCTAGCCTTTGACCTTGCGGTACCTGTCTGCTGGGGCAGCTGTTAGCATCCCCTGGAGTCAAAGAAGAGAAACGTATGTTTCAGCACCCACTTTGAAAAAGCCTTGAGCATTTTCTCACTCATAATGATGTCTTCAGCTGGAATGCCAGCACATTTCCACATCTTTCTGACAGGCAAGCAGACTATAAAATATACATAAAATTAAATAAAACAGGACATTAACACAAAGGTTTCAAAATCTGATTACAGTGCAGGGTTGGATTTTTTTTTCCAAAAATTATAAAATCTTGAATACGGAGGAAAAAAAGAAAGAAGGAAGAAAAAAAAGAAGAAGTAGATAGTTGAAGAGAAATCATGAAGCATTAAGGATGGGAAGGTTTCTATAAACTGTTAGATATCTCTGTCATATGTATACAGGCTTTGAAAATAGAGAAATCTTGTAGATATGATTGATTGAGATAACTGATTATCCACAGATATTTTAAGTGTTCAGACATTAAATTGTCAGCTGAATCAGTGTGATTGCAGTAAAACATGAAAACATTGACTTTTGTCTAGTTAGAGAAATTTATTTTTCCCAGAATGACAATCCTTTAAGTAGAAATCAGGCAGTTTGCCAGCTCTCCATGTCATACACTGAAGTTTGCAAATGCAACCCATATTTTCAAATGTTTTTCAGGGTTCAAGGAATGGTGCATAGGTCTTTGGCAAATAGTCTTGTAATAAACAGATTTCCATACACTGCTTCAATTCTCCTTAATCCTGATGTAGACTAGTATTTATTCATTATGAATGAATGAATGGCATAGACAGTGGTTTGCATTCAAGGTGTATACATATTCAGAGCACTTATGTAAAATATTTCTCTAAAAGAAACAGTAACACTCCTTGGACTGAAGCTATAGGAACAAGTTTGATTAATATGTTTTACAAGCCTGAAGTAAATGCTCATCATAACTGTCAGAAAGCTGACAGCTTTCAAGAAAGAGCCTTTGTTCCTGGAATGAGTAATTTGTGTGATCATCTTTAAGATACCACATTCAAAACCTTAGAGGGAGAAGGTGTTACATTCAAGTGAATTCTACTCAAAATGTGATTGCTGTTAAGTCTGCTTTGTACTCCAGATCCTTGATATGCACACAATATTTGACAGAATAGCAACTTTTTTTTTTAATTATTATTTGTTGTTCTTGCTTGTCAGAACATCTGTGCTTTCTCATTAGGCAGAGATGTACTCTTGGAGTTTTGTACCAACACACACAGGAGAGCCACCATTACCAATGTTTTGCTTCTGTGTTTGCCTGGGTTTTCACAAGTAAAGCCCAGACACAGGGCTTATCTTAACAATTACACTTGAATGAATGAAAGAGTAAGTGGGGCAAAAGCTGGAGACAAAACAGACATCTTAAGATATGACAAAACTATACTTTATGAATGGAAGGGGACAACTGTTCCCTCTCCTCTTGAGTGTGATACATTTCTCCTGACTTGTAAACCTCTGGCACAGAGAACTGGGCACTGGCACATTAAGTCTCCAGTGGTAATGAACAAGTACTTCAAGAACATAATAGCTGCTGAAAAATGAAACTGTGGTTACCCATTAGTGTGGGGAAATATTTCCTTCCTGACCTCTTCAGCCAAAAAAGTTGCTGTACAGCATCAACCATTGGGTTTGACTACTTTTAGAGAGACAAACTTTGCTCTCAGTTGTATAGTTTTGAAGCTGGATAAGAGGATTCTTCTTAAATAGTCACATGTTTATCCATTTAATTGAGAGTAGCTGCAACAAATAGCAATGAACTAATCCAGTCCTTTTTAAAAATTCACTCAGAATATTTTACCAAATAGCAGTGGATTCCACAGTTTGATTTTAAGTTAGACAGAGTAATTTACTTCTGTTCAGCCACATTCCCTTCCCACTTTTGTTTGTGGATCCACACATATACGGGAAAGCAGATGCCCTTTGTTGTTTAGCCTATCTTCACTTAAATAACTCCTTTTAGAAACTTCGGATGAATCCAAGGTTAGAACAAGCCTTTCCCCTGGTGTCAGAGAGACTCAGACCAAGGACCTCTTGGTTCATAATCTGGCACATTAGGTAAGATCTGTGCCAGAGTGTCCTTCCCAAACTGATCTGTGTAAAACAGGCAGCCAGAGGATGTGGTATTGTATGAGAGAATGATGCTGTTTAGACAAAAAAAGACATAGACAAAGAAAAAAGGAAAAGGAAAAGGAAAAGGAAAAGGAAAAGGAAAAGGAAAAGGAAAAGGAAAAGGAAAAGGAAAAGGAAAAGGAAAAGGAAAAGGAAAAGGAAAAGGAAAAGAAAAAGAAAAAGGAAAAGGAAAAGGAAAAGGAAAAGGAAAAGAGAAAGAGAAAGAGAAAGAGAAAGAGAAAGAGAAAGAGAAAGAGAAAGAGAAAGAGAAAGAGAAAAGAAAAGAAAAAGAAAAAGAAAAAGAAAAAGAAAAAGAAAAAGAAAAAGAAAAAGAAAAAGAAAAAGAAAAAGAAAAAGAAAAAGAAAAAGAAAAAGAAAAAGAAAAAGAAAAAGAAAAAGAAAAAGAAAAAGAAAAAGGAAAAAGAAAAGGAAAAAGAAAAAGAAAAAGAAAAAGAAAAAGAAAAAGAAAAAGAAAAAGAAAAAGAAAAAGAAAAAGAAAGAAAAAGAAAAAAGAGAAAAGAAGAGAAAGAAAAAAAAAAAAGAAAAAGAAAAAGAAGAAGAAAAAGAAAAAGAAGAAGAAAAAGAAAAAAAGAGAAACCACCCTCAATTAATTTCTTGCTGAGTTCAGTTGTTGCTATTCTTTTAAAGATGATATTCTCTAAATGCAAGCAATCTAACTGCTCCACATGAAGATCCTGCACAGATCTTCCCTGGCACTACTGACCTTGAGCTCTTGGGAGTCTGGTCCCATAGGATATATCCAGAAAATCAAGCCCAAGTGCAGGAGCAGACAAAGCCCCTCTTGGTACAGAGAGACATCTGTTCTGCATTCTGTGGGATTGTGGCTGCTGATGACAACCTCAGTTCTCCCAACAACTTTTCATAGGCCAGTTCAGTTCTGTAGCCTATCAAAATGACTTGCCAATGGATAACTCTTACCTTCTTCCTGGTCAGCAGTGTGGGCATGTCCAGAGTAACACAATGGAGGCTATCCATCCTAACCCAGTAGAATTTCAGTTGTCTTTCCTACTTGGTGGACAGATCAGTGGACTGCGAAGAATAAAATAATTAGTTCAGTCAGTGGGAATTCCTTTCTACACAGAAAAGTATTTCTTCACACACTCTTCTTACATTGCCTTTGTCATGTGATTTCTCAAAGTCCAGGGCATTCCTTTCCCTTCTCACTTTCACTTGTTACCTCCTAATTCACTTCCTGTTTGTAGAAGCTTCACTGTTTTGTTTCTGAAAGGCTACTGTCCTCCGAGTCCTGCAAAATTACCTTCTTCAGAAGAATTCATTAGCTTTCTCAGCACCAGAATGAATCACAGATTTCACTCCCTTTATCAAAAGAAATCAAAAATCCCGAATGAGGTGCCATTTTCATGCCTTTCAGATTCTAAGAAGAGTGATTTAGCAGAGAGGAATGTTATATATTATTATTCTTGTTACTATATTTAAAAAGACAATGTGTATTCCCATCTATACATACTGTATTTAATAATTCTCTAGCTTCAGAATTCTGGAGGGAAATCATTCTGTCCTGGTAATTTACTATAACTGAATCCCTCAAATTGTTCTGTCTTTTTTTGCCTTACATCAACCTGCTAAGGCCACATTTTTATTTCCTTTCAAAATGGACCTTGAAATAGAAACAAAAATACATAAAAAGACTGGAGAAATTGATTCAGTAGAAAAAGGTTAAGTCCTGAGTGTTGCTTAGTGTTGATCATGTGAAAATGCGATAAAAAATCTACAAATAGTTGAGGGCATTAAATAATAATGATAGGGGAAAATTATTATCACCGAAGTATGTATTCTGATGTGTTTATCTTATCACAGAAAATGGGCTCAGTATTTCAGACACTGTGGTGTGTTAACTGATGGTAATTTTGAATCTTCAATGACAAATGACTGTAAGATTGTCAACTGAGATACTGGAATGAAAATCTGAAAAGGAAAGTAAAGTGTAATGCCTGGAAATTTTATTTTGAAGTATAATCTCCTGAATTACGCTGCAGCATCCCAGATTAATTTGTGGAACCCCTATTAACTAGATAAAGTCCCAGTGAAAGAAGAAAAGGAAGGAAAAAAGAAGCTTAGTACTTGATTTGGCTGTCACCTCTCTTCAGTACATTTTAATGTCTACACCTCTACCTCTTGCTCTTGTAATTAATTTAATATATGATACCTGTTCTAGAGATCTCTGGCTACTTTTGTTTCTTGTGGCTTCTTTGATCTTTCATTCCAAGCTGCTCCTGGCCTGCCAGAGTGTATGCTCTAATCTGTTTGTTACCTCGCAGAGATCCAACTCTGAAGTTTCTCCTAGTTCTTGAGGTCTCTCTTTAACTTTATTCTTTCCTAAACTGAAACTTACATAAATAAAGCTGAAGCAAGACTGTTTCCAACTGCTGCAGGGAAACATGAAGACATGGGAATAATGACCAGCTTAGTCTAAATGAACATCCCTCATTTGGTTTAAAAGCAGAAAGTTTAGAGGAAAGGTAGCCCAAATTAAGTAATCACATTTAAATGTGTTGTAAAGCCATGTAATACCTTCAGGTGCATTGTAAATTTGTTTCCTATTCCACTATTTACACTAATACAGCTTCTACTTTATTATTTAGGAAACTGAATCCTTGTGCTGTCACCGTTTCCTGTACTTGTCATGACATAATGTGAACTAATCGGTACTGTGAAAGGGTTCATCACTACTGGAGAACATACCTCTCAATTAAATAGGCATTAGCAAAATGCCACCCTTAAGCCAAACCACATTTTGATTTATAGTCCGAAAGAGCTTTCCTTCTCAGCCTCAGTGGTTCTGCAGCCTTGCAGCATCACATGCAAATTAGATGTCCCAAGGTTTCCATCACCCAGCCCTCTGGCCTGACTTGCTGTGGGTAGCACCAAATTCACGAGAGCATTTGCACCTGGAAGAGCTGCATTACAAGGAGATGGGGGCCTGTTTAATTAGCATGGATGAGCAGTTATAGTCATTCTTTTAGAAAGATATATTTGTGAGGAGCTACTCTCTATTCAGAATATCCTAAGTATACAACACTGAAAATGACAGCTTGTTATTATTTGTCAGAGACCATGTATTCTAGTTGTTATGCTGCCCATGTTGGTAAGAAAGACTAAGCACACTGCCCGCAGGAAAGCAGAACTATGCTGGTTTTCCCAAGTGCTGCACTCAAGGTGTAATTTGCAACATCCCTTTATCCATCATGTTTCCTTACCATGTGTCTGTGAATGAGGAGTCTGCCTGCTCCCTGCCTGTTGTTCTTGCACTTTCCATGGCTGTGAGCACCATCAACCAAACCAAAGGTATGCAAAAGGCAAAGAGATGCTGCGGCCTCCAATATTTCCTTTTCTGACTGTGCACATTAAAGCTCCAGACAACCCTGCTCAACAAAGGTGAAAAAAAAAGTTAAAAAGGATGTTTTCCACCATTACAAATAGGTCTCTGACTCCTGATCTTAGCAATTTTTTTTTTCTTTGAAAAGTGTAAATCATCATCATACTTGAAAGGTCTAAATTTAAATGCTTCTTTTAATTTTGAACAAAAATAAGAATGATAAAGGCTGTGAATTGAATTATTTTTATTGTGGATCTTCTGCAAGAAGTTGTGCTAATATCAAAATAAATATTAAATTTCAGTACTTTCTTATATATAGCACATTCCATTGATTTTTTACCCAGAAATTATCAGCATTATATATTACTGAAAACATAAAGCACCAAGTTCATCAGATGGGACATCTTCCTATAGGTTTTAAAGAACAAGAAAGAACATAGAAAAAACATAGGAAGCCAGGCACATTTTAATTTAATTTAATTTAATTTTAATTTAATTCCATTGCAATGTGACTTTTTTAGGAATAAAACTGAATTAGGAATATTTATTCCCTCCATAACATTGTTTGATTTACCACTTTCAATTCTGGCACATGCTTTTGTGGTTTTTTTCAATATTATTATCAAATGAGTCCAAATAATAAATAATATCGAAGAATAATTTTTAGAATTAAAAGTAGTTTCTATGTTTTTTGGGGTTTTTTTCTCCCTTTTGTTTCGCTTTTCCAGATCTCACAGCAGGAAATCTTTCTAGCCCTTATGCGAGCCAGAATGCAACCTCAACTTCCCCTCATCTCTGGTGTAATCTCTGCAGAAATAGTCTCATTTCTCATGGGTTGGTGCTTCCTTTGCTATGGTTTTGTACCTCAGCCAATACAGTGGCACAGCAAACAGAGCTGGCAGGCATTCCAGGTATCAGTTTGAACAAGCAGTTAACCACTTGCTAATAAGTGGGTAGTTCTTATGACACTTTACATTTATTTTGTATTTTTCTAAATATTTATATACGTTGTTTATGTCACATGCTGTATGTGTCCTTGTGTGTGTATGTGAGATATATAAAGGTTATTTATGGTCTGTGTCAAAAGGTTATGAACAAATTGAATTTATGAAGAGGGATCGCTATTCCCTTGTGATTATGGCAGCAGTTGTTTCCTGAGTGTTTTTAAAAAAAAAAAAAAATCAGACTCGTCTTAGTCCACTCAGTGCTCGCCAAAACCATTGGGTATTTAGCTCTTAAGATAAAATCATTTGGCACAAGAACAGACTAGGAAAGGTGGCACCATACATTATTAAGAGGAAGAAACTTTCACCTGAAGACAGCAGGTAGCACAACAGCAAGAAAAACGTTCAGGAAGGCTAAGGAAACCCCAAAGAGAAAGGGCTGCAGAGAGGCTGTATTTTGCTCTACATGGCACAGCATATCACCAAGGGGGATGATTCTCACTGCTCTCTCAAATCGAGGAAAAAACTACAGAATATTTCCCGCAAAGAAGGGACCAATTTCCGTTCTATCCATAGAAGTAGGGATGGACAGACTGTCAGAGCATGCCATGAGCAGTGTTTGAACTTACAGGAAAAAATCATCTGGGTAACCGAAGGTTTTTCTAATCCTCTGCTGCTGCTGCAAGAAGCTTTTTATGACTGGATGTGGTGTCCCATGATAGATGGACTGACACCCACATTTGGAAAGACATTCAGATCAGTGAGTGTTGCTCTTCTTGACCCAGCTCTGAGTATTTCTGTGGTCCAGGCTGTTAGGTAGCCCACAAAGTCACCTGGCCACACAACACGACATCAGTTCCTACACTGAATAAAACCATCAATCCGTGAAATAGAAAGAATCTTTTTTTTTTTTTTTTTCCCAAATTATTTTCTTTCCACTCCTTCACTATGCCAGAAAAACAACAAATATGTCGGCAGACTATCAAACACTATTTTAATATTTCTGATGTTCATCAGTGAAAAAAAAAAAAAATGTAACCCATCATTGTACAAGTTGTACTAGATGTCTAGAAGTATAATCTTTACTGAGATATGAACAAAGCCTTTTCTGTCGGATTTCTGGCCCATTCCAATAAATTTGTACCTGCATCAAATTACATTATGTTATCTTTCATGACAAGTCAAGTGTGCTTTTCAATTCAAAAGATTTTTGCAGATAAATGCCATCCTGTTTCCCCATATTTTTTTCTGCTAGAATCATCAAGTATTCTGTAGGACAAACTAGTAGCCCTTGGTTTATTATTGCAATTTTTTTATTATTAGATATATTGTAGTGTAGAAGAATACGATCTATTTAGAAATCTCTTATTAATTATTATATAGTCAGAATGTTATCAGTATATTTACAATTGGCACTAAAATGCAGGCGCTTTAATTAAATTTTACTACATTTGCTCTTACATTAAAAAAAAATGAAAATGAAAAATGAAATAAATTACAATTATTCCTTGTATTTTGTAACCAAGAAGCATGCTTTTAACTAAACCGCAACTTCATCTGTTTCTCAGTAATTACAGACAATGCAACAGCTCAGAGTATTTACATAAGATGTCAGTCACAGAAATCAATCAGAAAAACTTCGATAACATTAGACTAAATCTTCAAGTTATTTACTCATTTTACTCAATACTTACAGATATAAACATTTGGGACAGTGATTGCAAAGAATAGGTGATAACTTCAAGATTCAGCCCAACCCTAATAGATTTTGTCTTTTCTGTTAGAAACCAAACATTCCCATTATTAATCTGCATGTTTGCTTTAATATCATTCTCTTATGACTGAAGTTTGGAGATATTTTATTGAACTACAGATATTTTAGTGGTTTAACCTCATAATAAGTATTAAATACAACTTGATAATAAAGATTATCGGACTGGTTTTAATAAATTTAATTTGCTGGAAAATTATAAATACACATTTTTTAATCAGAGCATGAGCTCTTAAAGGGGGAAAATTAAGTCACTGCATATGAAAAAAATGATGTTCAATACTCAGTTTTGCCTGAGCAAGGAGAGAAAAGGGATTTAACTATGGCAAATAGAGCATCCAGAAAAAAATGATGTCATTTCCTGGTGCTAATACCAGGATAGTAACTGTTTAGCACTTCTTCCTAAATTGGCTTTATCACAGTATGCTAATATTTATGAGCTATCAGCAACCAATGTACTCTATCTATAAAGAATGGAGCAAAAAATCTGCTTCTTTTCTTTTGCTTTTCTTTAATTTTGCAAATGTTTTGACAACAGGCTTTCTGTATATCAGCTAACAGATCTGCAGATGATCAAACTGGGAGAGGATGGAATTATTTACCTGAAGTTCATGCAAGAAGTTATTAGTTGAGATACACACTAGAGCAATGATCTCACACTGAAAGTTCCTGAGATGAGAGATTTAGCCAAAAAACTTTCTCATCAGAAGGCTCCATAGATAGGATTGGTAAGAGAAACACTAAATTTACTTGAGAACCTTGTATGTCACTGTCCATTTCAGATATCCCAGGTCTTTACATAGGGGAATTTTATCACAGAAAATCGTAGATTATTTATGTTATGATATGGGTTTGATTGTTTGTTCTGTTCACTTGTTTAGCGCATGAGAAGCAAGTGAAGAGATTATCCGGTTAAGCTTTAGTGACTCTAACAAATAAATCCTTGGACTGCAGGTGGTTTTCAAACAGATTTTGGCAGTGTAGTCAACATAAAAAACCCATTTTCCCTGTTAATATTTTCCATTTTCCATTACCATTCCATGGTATCATGCCAATGTTTGTGGTAACTGCTACAAAAATGCAGGCAATAGGCTAATGAGAGATCTTTTAGAAATCAAACTATATAAAGAATTCTATTAAAATGCATTGTATACAAGTTTTGTTCTCTATTGTTTCTCCCATTACACAGCCACTGCAACACAGGCTCAGAATTACCAAAGCTAAACTTTGGTAATTTTTATGTCAATACGGTTATAATGAGAAATGGCTATGTCAACATGGACAGTTTATCCCACCCTCAAACCTCAAACTACTTACAGCTCCACCCAGATATCTCACAGAACTCTAAAATGTGAAGCTGATGCTCCAGCCCTGGGGGAGCATTGGCTGGTTCTCAAGACCCAGGCCCTCCCACTCTGCTTGGTGTCCATCAAAAACTGCCAGGACCCAAGTCCAACTAAAGCAATCTGATTGCTACTGCTGAGAAATGGTTTATTACCTTTCCTTCTAGACAAATGGTTAAACTGCTGGCATTCCTCACCACTGGCAACAGCAGTGAATGGAACAGCTCTTAGGCACAATTTTCACAAAAGTTATGCTCTGTAACATTGCTGCAGAATCATTTTTCTCCTGAAAGGCTGTAATTTTAATACCTCATAGATGTGCATGTATGTAGAAGCATGCATTCTATATATGTATATAATTTCTATTACTTAAAAATTGGGAAATCATATATACTTATGTATGTATATACTTATGTATGTGTGTATGACTATATATGAGCTCTCCTGCTTCTAAAGTACTATCAGAAAGGCTTGTCATCATTTGCTACGGAGACAGACGGGAGCTTATTAAGTAGCTTATTAAGAACTGGAATATACCTGCCATCTGGACAGGCACATTACGCACTGCAGATGTAAGGTTTGGACACAGATTTCTTGCGTGTGACCCCAGAACTCAAATTCAGTCACTTAAAGACATGTCATGTAGTTTTGACCAGCATTTTAAACACATTTGGCACTAATATAAATGATTGCATAAGATGCAGAGTGATAAAGAATTACCAGTGAACTTAACAAAAATCCAGGGGGGGAGAGAACAGGGGCTATGTAGTTTACGCATCTCTGAGACATGCAAATCTTTTACATCTTAAAATGTTTCAGAATTTATTGGTGCAAAATAAAAGAGCTCCACTGCAGCCAAGAGGAAAGTATGCAATACAAATAAAAACATATGAAGACATTTAGAAACAAGCTATAACTTGACTTCTACAAAGCCCCAAACACACACTCCTGTTTTTCCAGCAGCTTGTGAGGGAAGGGTGGTTCTGGGTTTCCTCTCCAGATGGAGAGCTCAGTAGCGTATTCCCATTCCAGCACTTCTTCCAAAACTGCCACATTATCCTGCTTTCTCCAACACCTGCTACAAAATATTTCACACTTGCTCTGTTTCATTCGAAGTTTGGAAGGAAAAGGACACCAGTACCATTGAAGGTTGTGTCCAATACTTCAACTGACATTTCCAGAGCAAGCAACTCCCACTGCCACTGCATTGGCTGCAGAAAGGTCTTTATTTCATGGACACCATCCAGGGAACAGCAACACCAGTACAGGTGCTGACATCTGAGGCTCAGTGAAAATGAATGGTCTCATGGGATTCCCCTGGCCAGTCTCTCTTTCATTATTTTCTTTCATGATATGTGATCTCTTGAAGATGAAGTGCTGCTGCAAGCACACAGCAGTAGCCTATGGCAGTGGGTGAAGAGAAAGCTATTCCAAGCCTCATGCAAGGAAATGCATTAAAAATGTAAACCATACTAGCTGTCACACATTTGTGTGTTCAGGTGGCTTATTGGGATGTAGCCTATTGTGACACAACAAATCTATTACATACATCTGTGGTTGTTTAACACCATACAGCTCTCATTAAATATGTTGGCCAAGGTTCTCTTGTCCTCGCAGATTCATCTTGTTTTACAGAGTGCACAGATTCCACTCTAGGTCCTTCCTTGTAATGCTCCTCACTGAGAGAACAATTGCCTGGAAGCTGTTGTATCCCTCCTCTAGTAACAAGGATTCCATAGGCCATGAACAGTTTTGGAATTATGACTGCTTTTGTGGGGTCTAATCCATATGCCTCAAAAGAGTTTACATTTAAAATATCACAGGACAGAAAAGAATGGGATGTAATGGATCAGCTGAATATGCTAGCTGAGACTGCCCTCCATGAAGTCACCTCAACCATGAGCTCCACAAGAGCAATGTCAAAGGGTTTGAGGTGCTCCCAGAGCCATTAATTCAAGTATGAATTACAGAAACTTGTTTTGAGCATTCTACCAAGAAAGCAGAGCCTCAGGTGAAACGCATGGTGTCTATTTGAAACCATGTAGACCATTTTGGTCCTGCATGCCATCACCTTCTGGCAGCCCCTTATCTGTCTTTCTAAGGTGGCTCCTTAAAAATGGACACTGAATTACAGTACCAAAACAGAGCTGCTCCACAGGTCAAGGATAAAGAAACAGAGCTGTGCATGGTATGAGAATGGTTAACAACAAACTAAGTAAAATAAAACAAGTTGGCCTCTTTTGGCCTCCAAAACTGAGACAATTGTTGGCAGTAGATTCACCATACTGAGGCACAAATTTCCCAGAGGAGGCCAAGGGCTGTAATCCTGACTGCTATTAGTGCTGACCTGTACAATGACCTGTCACATAAAACAGAGCAGCCACGCAGCTGCCTGGTGCTCCCCATTTAGATGAGTGCTACGTCCATCCCAATGGTCATTATTTACATGTCGGTGATAAGGAGTGGATGCACCACAACTACAGATTAACCCTCTGCATCCCAAAGTGAGGATCAGTCTCTGCTCAGGAGTTAAAAGACAATGAGGTGCATATGGGAGGTATTTTAGGATGTATAAGATAAGTTCTTTAATAAAATGTACCGATTTGGAGATATTAAAAAGTGGGGTTATTCCACTTCTCCACAAAGGTAGTTGTTTCCATATTAGCTGCATCTGGACACTGAGCAAACCTTTATCTCACCAATAAGATAGGTGCATTGCATTTTCTACCTACTGTCATATGGAGACATACAAAAAGCATAAATTAATATAGCTTTTTACAGTGAGTATTAGATTTTTCAATACTCTCACCAACACACAGAAATTATATTTAAACAGTACAAACAATTTCAAACAATGGTAACAGAAGAAAAAAAAACCTCATTTTTTCTTTTTTTTCTAACTTGGTGTTAACTTAATGATATGCGACATTGCTATCAGTGCAGAGCAATAAAAATGAAATGGTACCCAATGTGCATAGACACTCTGGAAATTTCAAATGACAACAGCAACAACAAAAATTATACTTTCCCTTTCCCTTCCCATGCCTTTTGCATTAACGTAAGGTTATGTGACTTTGTTATCCATGTACTGCAATAAAAATGAAATTGGTGGCCAATGTGCCAGGACAGTCTTCAAATAAAACAAAAATAAAATTATGTTCCTTTGCATCATGTAAAGGATACATGACGTGAGGCACAAATTTCACTTTTCTACTACATCTGAAATAATATGCCAGATGAGAGCATATATTTCTTTTTCATCATGAGAGAGAAAAAAAATGTATTTGAAACAATTTCTTTTAATTTCTCGTCATTGTATAAGCACTAAAAAAAAATGTGTTTTACAACGGTTTCTTATATTAGACTCATATTGTGTTTATATGTTTCCTAAATGAATGTTTTTTTGGTAACATGTTTGTGTCTAACATTACTCATATAAATAAAAATATATTGTCATTTTATGGAATAATAGGCAAACAGACATCTGCACGCAACATTTCCCTCATTAGATGTTTTCATGTTAGCGTATTTTTATGACTTTGCTGCAAAATACAATGTGCTAGCTTGAAACCTTCTTAAATATAACTTATTATGTATGTTAACAACCCACATGCTTTAGTTATGCTCAGAGAACTGCTTAATAAAGGAGTAGTTAAGGCTGGTGTAGCATGAGGTGCTGCGACCCAAAGGAACGTGCTTGCAGCTCTGCATGAGCAGTTTTGGAGACCGTCATATAAAAAGAACATAATACTATTAAAAGGCATCCAAAGAAGGGCTACAAAGATGGGGAAGGGTCTGGAGGGCAAGGTGTATGTGGAGTGTCTGAGCTCCCTGGGTGTGCTCAGCACAGGGCAGAGGAGCTGAGGGGAGCCCTCATGGTGGCTGCAGCTCCTCACAGGGAGCGGAGGGCAGCGCTGAGCTCTGCTGTGTGTGACAGCGACAGGCTGAGGGGACGGCATGAAGCTGCGTCAGGGGAGGGAAGCTGGGGGTCAGGGAAAGGGGCTGCCCACCAGGGTGGGCATGGAACGGGATGCACAGGGCAGTGGGCACAGCCCCAAGCTGGAGTTCCAGGAGCATCTGGACACTGCTTTCAGACATAGGGTTTGGGTTTGGGTGGTGCTGCATGGATCCAGGGATTGGACTCCATGATCCTTGTGGGTCCCTTCCAACTCAGGATTGTAGCAGGTTCCACCACTGCTTACAAACATACACACACACACAAAGCCACAGATAAGAAACCTTCCACGAAAAGGAGTGAGGGTGTGTGGGCCGAGCCACCAGCAGGAGCAGGTGGAGGAGATAAGGTGAACTTTTGAACATATCTGCTGCTTACATCAGGATACATATGACCCAGAAACCAAGTGGATAGATGGGATAATAATCCAGCTACAGGAAAATATAAGCACTGCACTTGAACACTGTCTTATTGCACTACTGAATTGCCAGGCATTGCTGGGTGTCAGGCATCTCAGCCAAGCTGCCACTACAAGAAACTAGTGAGGAAATGACTCCTACACCAGTCAGCCTGCACAAGAGGACTGCGCAGTGCTGAGCACATTTCAAGTGCTGTCTCAGCTGTGATTGTAAAAATGGAATGAATCCTCCAAGCCATTCGTGCTTTCAGCTGGGTTTGATCAAATTGTACACCCTCCATGCCCAGGCTCTGAAAGATGAATATATAATTGAGAAATTCTCCCTTCTAAAATATTTCTTAAATCCAGCAACAAAAGAGTTTAATCAGAATGTTACTCTCTTTTCAAGGATAGTTCTGCCATAGCTGTTTGGATAAAATGACTGGAAATCAGAGATACAGTCATTTAAATAATCTGTTAAAAAGCTATTACGTTTCCCTAATGCTAGTCATTTTTAAATGGCTCTTGGTTTGATTCATGAACAATACATGAACAGTACATGATTCACATGAGCAATTTTTATGAAGTACTTATCCCAAAAGGAATGTCAGACCTTGTGAAATCCATTGTAGATTGCAGTATTTTCATACATTTTTTAAAATAACAGACGTTAAGGTTCAGTTTCTCACAGACCAAAGTTGGCACATAAGTTGGTGCAGATCAAGGAGCCAAAAGAGACTGAAAGATATCATATAGATAACTGTAAAGATCTTGCTGCAGTTCAAGTGCTTTTTAAGTTCTGTAGTGACTTTTTGCTATCAGAAACCATTAGAATTAATTGAAGTCAAACCTTACTACTTAATCATGAGATCTGAGAGTAAATATCAGTGCTGCTGCCATGCAGAATCGCCTTGACTTAGTATCAGTCAGGAAAAAGCAAGCCTTTCTTTGCTGTAAGGACAGGGTCTGAAGTGGGGACTGACCTGCTGTTGGTGTGTCTGCAGGCAACTGGGAAGATCTGCCTTCAGTGCCAGCAACTGAATGGGCATGAGGTTGTGGAGAGGTGGTGTGCCTCTGCTCAGCTATCCCTCAATTCTCCCAGCCGTAAAATATGAATTAGACAAATTGTTACTGATCAGACTAGGATGCAGTAAGGACTAAAAAATTCCCAGTCATCTAACAGAGAATTTCCTACAGTTAAATGCATTTCAGCATAATACAGAAAACAAGAATACAAAGACATTCTCCTCATGTTATCTAACCTATGTGGTGAATGTACCCATCTTTCCTATGCACAGTAAGTGTTGGGATGATGTTAAATGAAGGCTCTTATTAACTGCCATTCTGAAACAAACAATATATTTCCAGTTGAGTAATATAGTAAAAATCCAGTGCATTGTTTCTGCTGTGTTAGGAAAGAAGTTGGATTATGCAATTTGATGCCAGTGTGACCTAGGTCTGCTTATATACTGCTAAAATATGGTAAGTATTTAAACTGATAAGCAGAGATTTAATATGGGCCACAATAGGATTAATGAATAAATAGAGGAGTTTTACGTTACATATTTACAATCACATTTAAAAGTAACACTACATCTCTTAGTTTATATTCAAGGAATACTTCACATGGGATGATAGGCAGCAAAGTGACACAGGTACAGAACCTCTTGCTTGACCTGAAAAACTCCCAGGCACATTTTTTAGCCATTCATCACATTCAAGTTCACCCACTTTTCAAGAGTCTGTGAAATCCTTAACGCATTCTAGCACATGGCACCCCAACAGCTGTGCTGACAAACACAAACCAAAGAGTTCCTGCAGGCAGAAAAAAATGTTGTGGTTAGGATTCCAGACGAAGTATAATTCTGGGACAGTAAATTTTAATGCATCCCAGTTGTACTCCACTTAGGGAAATTATGCTTCTTTTATTGTTCTAAGTTACTTGGGCCTATAATCAGGTCCCTAATATGTTCAACAAAGCATCAGGATACATAAAATATCTTACCAGATAATCCTCTTTGGAATCCACAGTTGAGTTATTAAGTATTCCTTTCACTAATCTCTGTAATCCTCTGTTGATATAGGTCAGTAAAACAGTGGCTAAATCCCATATGATAAAACTAAGACTAGATTTTGCAATCATTCTCTTCATATTTTGGCTGTATTTCTCCCAGCTGTTGTTAGTCGCATTACCAGCATTACAGGTGTCACATTTGGCACCACCTGGAAACCTGGGGAAGAGTTATGGATACGTATGTTGGCTTTGAACTGAAAGTCATCAGAAAACTCATCAGGTACATTCAGAAAATGCATATGAAAGGCAGAACCAGGATTATATGCCATTTGATAACTGGGATGACATTAACTCACTAGTATTCACAGCCGCTGGATTAGCAATCAGTGTTAAATCTTCACATGCAATGAAAGTTAACAATGCTGGTTTTATACTGTCCCCTCTCCAGAAAAAAAAAAAAAAAAAAAAAAAAAAAAAAAAAAAAAAAGTTCAGTCTGTTTTCTCCTTTTGATTACAGTTCATTTAAGGGAAGAACGTTACAGCATGCTTTGAAAATGTTTTATGTGTCTTTGGCTGATAGAACACACAAAACGTTTGAATAGGCCCATTTATTTGAGCAGACGTATTAAATAATACTTTAAATGTGAACATGCATGTCATAAATTTTGTAGTCTCTTTAAAGTAGGATAAATCTGTGTATTTAAAATAGTCTTTCTTCAAAGCCATCTTTTTTTTTTTTCTTCCCAAAGAGTCATAAAGGAAACTCTGATTTGTGCTGCTTGAACAATGCCAGCATCATCATTTTAATGTTATCCATATGGGCTTCTAATAATAGATAAGAGACTACATTTGTATTGTATGTCTTAGAGACATTTAAAATCTTGATAAGGAAAGGCTGATTTCATTGGCCCCACAGTTAAAGGAAAGCAGACCCTAATTAAAAGAATTCTGTTCTGAATTAACTAGTTTGACATGTGCTAATTGACAGTTCCTGTGAAATGGTTCTAATTAAAGTCAATATGTCTTTTTCAATTAAAAGGAAATTAAGAATATACTAATATACATTAACAACTTAATCTGCCTTCAATATCCCATACATCAGCTGCTTTTTTTCTGATGTTATTGGAGAACCATCTGACATGCATCGTCTACTGTTTGGTTATGGTAACTCATTATTACTCAACAAGAATACAGACACTGGTAGATATCCTCTAGAGCAAGACTATAACCTGCCTTTTACCTAATGTGCAAAGTTCCTCATCTCCTGTCTGATAAAAGACTAACCCACCTTTATAGGAAGAATAAAAAAGGTTTCTCTGTTGAAAGGAGATTTCTTTATGAATTGAATACAGTGCTAAGTACTGACAATTAGTCAGCAAATCCAAATTTTTGATAGAAGCCCTAAGAAAAATGTGTTTTCTTTCATGATGTGGCCTAAATAAAGGCCAGATTTTAACTTTTGAGAGCCATCTCTCCTCACGTGGTGTTCCTGAAGTGAATGCAGGGCAGATTTCTCTGGTGGGAATGCTTTTAATTGTATATACAAGAAGAAAATAGAAAACATGCCTTCATGGTAGAGCAGTGCTGAAAACTATCCCATTGTTATTGCTTGAAATGTGACGTAGCTGTTTATAGCCACAAAATTAAGTATTCAAATGTGCAGTTGACTTTGCTACCAGTCCCATGGCCTACTGCTACTGACTTTGCTAACTAAAAAAGCTCTTTTAAAAATAACAGGGCCCATGCTGATAAGATCATGATCTTGAATGTACAAGGAGCTATGCAGAAGACTAACTCTTTGCTATTGATTTTTCAAATATATTATTTTCTTGTTTGGGAAATAATCATGAGAAGTTTGATCAGTGCATTATAAGGAGAGTGGTGTCACCAGGGAAACGAGTAATGGCCTTAAGAGGTAATTAGATATCTGCTTTTAAAAAAAATGCTTATTGTACAGGATGTTAAGAATACAATCTCACTTTTATTATAAACTTCATATGCCATGGAACACTACTTCAACTCTGACTGTTCACCCTAGTGAATTTATCATAGAGAATGCATTCTCTGGAGAGTTTTTACCAAAGCTTCATTCGACAGAATATCTTCTTCTTCTTTTTTTTTCCTTTTTCTTTTTTTTTTCCAAGCAATTCTTTTAAATCTTAACAAAAACATATATAAATATTGAGATAAAAAATCAGTAAATAATAATTTGCTTGTGCCATTAGGAAGCGAATTAAGTAATGAAGTATTTTTGTGGGTAAAGTTGTCAAAACGTTGTGTTGTTGAAAGTGTGGCTTAACTTCAGAAACCATGGAAAGTGATATGGGAAAAATAGGAGTTGAAATGAGGTGGGTTTTTTTATTTTTGTTTGAGTTTGTTGGCTTTCCTGATATTTGCTGTAATTTAAATTCATTTTAAGAAGAAACTAATATCCAGAATTGTTCTTGAGATTGACTAAAAAGTGACCATGTCGTATATTACTGTTTGGTTCTGAATGAACGCAGCCAGATTTTCAGAACTGCGTGGCCAGATTTCACATAGACAGCTACTTACTTTTTAGAAAAGCAAAAGTCAACAAGAAGTGTAAAACCTTGTCCCAAATCATTTAAAATACAAGTTAAAAGATTCCATCCCTCAGGTAACAACAGCTTGTTTGATTGCCCTTTTGTTACCATACAGGCCATGTTCTCAAAGTCTCGGACCCAGCAAAGTACTAGGGCCAAGTGCCTTGATTCTGAATGGAGGTTCTTGACTGATTGTGGTTACAGCTTCAGTAAGTTCCCTTTCAGCTCCCTTGTCTTGTGTGGGATATAAAAAGGGATATAAAAAGGTCCCTGCAGTTCTAATGGAAGACTTTCAGGGCAGCAAGAGAATTCTCATAACCTGAAGAAAGGCAGCAGTTGAAATGAAGAGTTGGAAAATGGCTGCTAGTTTCTGTCAGTGGAATTAAGTTCCGTATCTCTTTGTGGACTTGGAGTAAAGGGTATGATTTGTTGTTTTAATAAGATTTCATTTCACTAAATCAGGTGCTAATACCAAGTTTCTAAAGATATCATTGTCTTAAGTAAAATACTCATGTGTTTTCAGCAGAAATTAAAATATTACCTCAAATTTCTCTTTTATTTTAAATGCAGAAAACTTCCCAAAAAAAAGTGAACTAGACTTCTTGGTGTGATGCCTTTGTGACTGCTATAATCTTTTAATATCTTATGATCTGTGTCAAGGACAGTATTTTCAAAGAGCATTTATATGTTCTTAGAAGCATATATGACTCACAGATGCCACTCTTCTCTCAGCATCAGATTTTTAACCGTTATCTCAGTATGGTGCTGGTACAGATTCGCCACTGAAGTAAGATGTTAAACATGTCTCTAAATTAGTAAATAAACAAATCTCTGGGAGACAGTAGAAATTCTGACTACTTGTATTCATTAAAATTCTATGGTTCTTTGCACAGGAGGAATGCTAATCCTGGAGTCTAAACTGAGACTCGATCCCGCAGTTCCTTAAGACCTGCTTAAAATAGAGTAAGACTACTTGCAAAGTTCAGTTTAAGGTCCAAGGTGACTGCAGTTCACCAGTGTTCTGCCTCTCCAAAATGCAGTTTGTTTTTCCACTGACTGTTATTCTTTCTTCTCTTACCTGCTTTTCTGCAAGCTGCTGAGGGCTTGACATGTTTCTTCTGTATTTCATGCACAAATGAGAAGATGAGAACAATGGTATGTGAAACATTCAGAAAGTTATTTTCCTCCTACTCCCCTTTCTAAGATCGTTTTGGTAATTCAAATCTTTAGTCTTAAAGTGGAGAGAAATGTGGAAAGAGGATGAGGCATAATTAGCAAAACTGTTGCTTTGATTCTGAAAACAGTTATGAATGAGTTGCACCTGTTTCATAAAAGTAATCATATTAATTTCATGAAAATCATGTTTGCTGGAGTATGTGAAATCCCATGTTTCCAGGGCATGTAGGAATCTTCTCTTAATGTAAACACAGTTAGGTTAGTCCCAGTAGCTCAGGAGCACTGCTTACTCACACAGCTTACTCAAAAGCCAAGAGGCCAGGTAGGAAGAAGCTTCTAAGCATAAGTCCTGCCTTTGATAAATACCTTACAATTAAAAAAGCAATATCAACACTCTAAAGTGAGAGTATGTACATACCTGCATGAATGTAGTTAATCTGTAAATTACTTTCTTTCACAGCTCTGAAAGTCAAAAACCCAGATCCTCCCGCCCCAAAAAAAGGAATATTGTTCCTATGAATCTTCCACAATGCAGCTATCTGTCTTTGTATAAATAATTAGTGAGATAGTCTTTCTGTTTGTACTGAGCCTCGCTAGATAGAGATGTTTGTGTGGAGAAGAAACTGCTGTGTTCTCAGTGCAAGGCAACCACATCCTATAAATTCTAGAAAAAATTTATCTTGGCTCAAGAAATCAGCATGCGGAACACAGGATGATGTGGTCGATGTACGAGCCTCTGGTTAGCAAGTTTTTTTCTCCTCAGGCATCTGTCCTTCTTACTGCTCAACCTTCTTTCCCCTTCCTTCCACAGCACTCACTGTTATGTAGTCACATTTTCCTAGCTATGAATGCTGTGTGAGTTATACATCCTCTTAATACATATATTATAGAATATGTTTGTTTTTGCTGTTAGAACAAATAAACATATTTTCAACATGTATTTGCTCATGAGCTGAAAAATAAAGTAATGTGGGGTGTTTTTAGTATCTCTGTTGAGAACATTTGGCCCCAGGACACTTTCATTTACATACCATGCCCCACATCTTTTCGATTATTAAGTA